GTATCTCATATGTAGCTAGGTAGCAGAGAGACTGAATTATGTTTAGTAGCTGCCTGATTTGTTTATTTCATGTCAATTATTATTATGTTGGGGTTTTTAAAATTGTTTATTTAAAATTATTTTTCATTAATAATTTTTTTCATTGAAATAAAACCCTGATAAAGCTGAAAAAATTACGCTGAATTAATCATTTAAACAAAATCTCTGCTGCTATGACATCAGTTTACAAGCCAGGCTAACTTATGGACATTTGGTCTAAACATGTATGATTCATTGAAGAATGAGGCCTATTGTATCACAGTCATTTATCACATAAGCCATGATAAATGAGAGAGAGAGAGAGAGAGAGAGAGAGAGAGAGAGAGAGAGAGAGAGACAGAGAGAGAGAGCGAGCAACAATGTAAAAACACTGGAAACATCAAAAATGGATAAAGGAAAATGGAAACATCAAATGTGGGGTCTGACAACTAATGTGATAGTTAATGTTGTTTAATTACATAATTATGAGCTCAATTAGGATGTCAGTTTACATATCAGCAGTGTCAGTATTGCATTTTTCGTATTATATATTTATATTAATGACATATGCTGAAAACAATAGAAGCTACAGATCACATGGCATGTTCTTTTAGGGTACTAATGCACAACAACATGGAACAGCATGGATCCCAAACTATTCTATGATTATAGGCTAAACCTGTAGCTGAGATCCTAAAGCATTATTCCAGTCATCTCTATTGATTCCTGTGTCTGTTACATTTACACAATAGCACACACGCCTCACAGACCAACTGTGCTGACATCAGGTTGCCGGCAAACACTAAAAGCATCTCGTCCTCTCTACCACCCACAAGATTTGATCTTATTCAAGGCTTGGCTTCCAAAATGTTGTCAATATCCTGCCATAAATGTACAGGCAAGGCAGGAAAAAATGTGACAAATAAAGACAGGCAGTGCACCATGATAGGCATTATTGGACTTTCTAAATTAGAGTTTTTAACTTTCTAAAAAAAAAAATAAAGTGATTTTATTGAGATTACACTGTACGCACTCAAGACCAGCATAATATTTATATGTGTATCCATGTGTGAAGTGCATATTAATTTGTAAAGTGTAAACATGAATTTTGTGCATTTTGGATTGACATTGAAAAATACAATATCAACCTACTGACAGCATCTAAAATGTGAACCCCTTTAGGCATGTGCAACTTCAGAGATGTTCAAATCTTTTAACACTCCGAGCAGACCAGCTGATGATGTTTAATATCAAATGTGTTCAATTAAATGTGATGGCATTAAAAAATATTTACTTCATTTAATTAATAATTATAATTATATTAATTTATTTATTGAATATTCTATTAGCATAAAATTATTCGTAAATATTTTGAATGGTTCATGTGTAAAAGGGTTTACAGTTTGTATGACAGCACTATGTGAATCAATGTTAATTCAGAATACTACAGAGATCACATTAGTCAAGTCTGATACTCTTTTCACTCTCTTTTTACTCTCTTATTCCCCTCATTAATTTGTTTTCATGAAACTCCTTGACTTACACTCTTTCCCATTAAGTATTTTATATTTTTAACAATGCTATGTTATAATTAACATAATTTTCCAAAAATAAAATAAAATAAAATCATTGAGTTGATGATCATCATTGTGTCAATTTATACATATGACACATAAATAAATAAATAAATAAATACATTTTCTCCAGGCTTTGGCCCTTCCATGCTTTACTCAATGGGATTGCATACTTCTTCTGATCGAATTTTGAAGGCAGCATAGATGTATCCTTCGCTGCCTTTGATATCCCACAATCCTGTGCATTCCATTCCGTGACGGTTGAACTAAAAAATAAAGATGGCGTCTGAAAGTTGTGTTTGGTTGTCAGTTTGTGTGTAAATGTATATTTCTGACTAACTTTTTGCACTTTTGATGTTATATCTAGCGAGAAATCAGTATTATAGTAATTAAACATTTGTTTAGTTATCACCAAAACTCATTCTATTTTGTTGTAGATCATTAAACCGTTACGCTGCCTCAGAAGCCTGTCCGAAATCAGTTTCATGAGGTGTCTTCGTGCAAAAACGCTGCCTGCAAAGTCATTGCCTCATACGGCAGCGAGGCA